GTTTACTCCTGATATTCTGATGTTAATGGTCTACAACAAGATTCTTACCTATATACTTGTGAAACGCTAGGCAACCTAACTATGGTGGTCTCTAAACGGGCTCGTTTGTTCGCCGAATTCAGCGGTAAGTTTGTTAAACATTAACTTATTCGATAATTCAAGTGCAAGTGTAAATCTTCGGGAATGTCTGTACAAAACAATTTTATACGAATGCGAATATGACGCTCTGAGGCTAGATAGGTGCCGCAAGAACTGCAGCGATAGGGTCACGCAGTGCAAAGTTATTCTGCGTATAGACATCAAAATACACTGATATGGATGCTTACACTCTAATTAATTTTCGCGGTCTCACTTTACCACGTTTCCTTCACTCTGGGACATCGGAAGGCTGCCCAATGAAATCAACTGAAAGCCCTACCGTACCGGAAGCTCGCATGACATATTGCCTGTTACCTCCAGCGTATTAAGGACGCCGTTGTGATGGTTACAAACAATAAGGTACTCGAAGAGGGAACTCCACATGCGAAATAACCAGCTGGAGAACGCTTCTATAATGTTTTGTAGCTTTACTGATCTTTCCTTTTTGCAATGACGTATATATATCGATGCTCTTGACGTATATATATTGACTTTGAGTGTATCTACCTATATATCTAGCCGCCTACGACTTGTAGCTCTCCGGCCGTTTCGTTTATGGTATCAGTGCCAAACTTGGTGTGGTATAACATGACTTTACGAAGAACATATTTCACTAGTCAGAGCAAGAAAGTCATGACATGTATGTCATAAATGTCATGATTTACATTTCATGGTCCTGCAGCTGTTGCGGTGGTTTCGTTCACATGGCATGTTGCAAAACTGGTATGGTATGGCATGGTTGCATGGCAAACGCAAGCGACAGACTCTAACATGAGAATCATAACATGCGTGTCAATTAACAATATTACTACATGCCACGCTCATGATGCACTCGCGGCCGTTTCGCTAGCGTCACCTATACCAAATTTGGTACTACAGTACGTAAATGAATGACGAAGGTATGTGACTGGTGCAAACGTGATAAGCATGAGAAGCGTGCCATGTAACAACATGGCTAGATGCTATGCTCATGATGTGCTCATGACCATTTTGCTAGCTTTACATGTACCGAACTCAGGTATTACGTGACACGAACGGACGACATAGGTAAAAGACACATCCAAACATGTTAATCACGGCATGTGTGTCATATAACGACATGACTACATGCCACACTGATGATGCGCTCGCGGCCGTATCGCTAGGTTCACATATGCCAAATTAGGTATTACGTGACGCCACTGGATGACGAAGGTGTGTGACTGGTGCAAACATGATAATAAGATGCGTGTCCATGCTACAGTCAAGGACATTTTGACATGATGCAGTGCGCGTGCTCACCGGCGTTCATTTCGTCGCATCACGCTTGTGTTGCCACGCCAGAAGTCGGTCCTACCATATATGTACTCGCAGGCGCGCGCCGCACTGCGTTGCGTTTACGCATGCGCGTTTCAGCGCGCCCGGCGTTCCTCCGTCCCGAAAAGAGGGAGACGCACTGCTGTCTTGGTAACGTATTGCTGCGAAACTCAGCATCTCGCAATTCGCGCCAGTTGCCATCAGACTTACGTCAGAGTGCTCGCGTTTTGCTAACGTAGCATCGCTGTGCCCAGCATGCGCGCGCGCCAACGCTACACAGGAGTGTATTGGGGCCTTCTTAATGCGCTTGCGGCCATTTCGCTAGCTCCACATATACCAAATTTGGTGTTATGTGGCGTCAATGGATGGCGAAATTTATGACTGGTGAAAACACGATAATCCTGACACGCGTGTCATGTAAGAACATGACAACACACCATGCTCAGAGCATGCTCTCAGCCGTTTCGCTAGCTCCACATATACTAAATTTGCTATCACGTGACGTGAATAGATGACAAAAGTAAACGACACATCCAAACATGATAACTATGATACGGAAGTCAAGTACGGCATCATGTACTTCCACCTCGTAAAGTTGTGCTGATTTTAAAGTGACATATCAACATTTCTCATTCGTGCTTCGCATGCCATCGATTCCTACTGTATTCGTGGGATCTGCCAATTTTTTTTTTGTTCCTTCAGTTCCTTCAAATAACGGCGCCCGGAGATATACCCCGCCGGTATTGTCACTCGATCACATTCTAGTTCAATATACCTGGAGATCAGCGGGCACGTTTTCTTTAGAACTTGGCGTTCGGCGAATTTTTTACCAGTTTTGCAGTTTTCAAGCTGTAAAAGTCGGACAGCTTTATTCTCTGTCGCTATGAGTGAAAAAGGGTGGTAAATAAAAAAGAAATCTAATAGTAATCCCTATTTTCATGCAATACCACGATCACATTTAGCGTTACATTTATCCAACCATATGGCGGCAACCTTCCGGCGTCATTTACGCTCGCAGTAGTTTTGGCGAGCGCCACTACGAGTTATGCAGTCAGCAACAAATATTCATGCGTGAAAGGGCCCCTATAAGCTTTGCCGTTAGGAATTCAAAGTGATAGCAATATCCTGTCCATTAAATGTACTTCAACCACTCAGTAAATTGTTTTTATAGCGAAAGCTGTTACGGGATCAAACTTTGGGTCTCTCGCGGCACCGTGTTCCACACTGCTGCCGCCATCGGTGTCCGTAACTACTATAGTGAAATAAGAAAAACAAATGCCCCCACCTCCACGAAGGGAATAATGAGGAAATGCGAATGCATTTCTCGCGCCGAGAGAGGGCACCATTGTCGTCAGACATTAGCCTTCACTGACTTCTGCCATCGCCTTGATAGGCGCCCCGCCAGCGAACGGTCAAGAGTGAGGTGCGAGTAGACGGGAGACTGGGAGGCAAGGAGGACAGAGAGCGAATGGCGAGAGATGGAGCGGCAAAGCACGGCACCTACGCTTTCCTGCACTCTCTGACACTACGAACACTGGTTCCTGGGAGCGAGTATAAGTGCCCATACTCGCAGCTGTTGCAATGGGAGAGAAAGTGAGAGCGGAGAAATAACACCTGCTGATACAAGGCCACCGCCACGGACGCCGCGGCCGGATGCCTGACACAGCCAGACTAAGCAATGCATTCGCATTTAAGACCTAGTACGAAGGACACAGTCAGGCTCGAACTCGAGTACGCTATGTGCCAGCCCGGTATGAGCCACGCAGGAGCTGGGGACTTGTTCGCAAACTTGGCCTAGGCAGGCTGGATGTCAGGAAAGGAATTGCATTAAGATGAGTATTAAAGCGTTTTAAAACAGCGAACGAACAACAAGGCGTCACACAATGCGAATAACGTAACGAGTGGGTCGTTCAATGCTGCAACCAATTACACAAACTTGTCTTTGATTACCCATTAACTGTGATACATACCCACTTGAGGAATAACTCGTTATCGTCGCCAGCCACAGCATGAACAAATGGTACAAAATTCCTTGCAAGTGTGTAGCGTATAGAACGCTTATCAGAAGAATGACAAAATATGGCATTGCGAGTGCTGGTCTACTACCAGAAATTAGTAATATTATTCATGCCGTAGTGGGTACACAGCCGGTGTTCTGGCAGCAGTTACCCAATGAGTGTTAGAAAAGGCTCTGAAAGGCCGCTCTTCCAGCTTTCGCTGTGACTGTGCTGTGTCTTCCGCGCAGGCCTGGCGTTTTTTTTTATTGTATAGTACTACTCCAAAAGTTTAAATTGTGGATTACTACAATGTAATTCATAAAGTTGAAAGTGGCGAGCGTTGGTGAAACTTTCCATATGGCTGTGCAATATATAGCGTGCTTCAAACCTCCAGCAAGTGCACGTGTGAAATGTTTGCGAAATGACTATGCGCTCCTACCTGGTAAGGAAATATGCGCAGCAGCGTATACGCATTTCGTAATGGCTGGGTGATAACATTCACACCTGCTCACACTCGATGGCAATGTACTCCTGTACCACGCAATATTACTTCGAAGCTGCATTGTGAATCCTGCTATACATGATGTGAGTGTTTGGCAAGCATGAACGTTATTTTACGCGCATTTACAAGCAGGGAAGTAAGTTTAACTATATTTCCAAGCCGAGCAAGGCTGGATAGTAGAACTCCTGTGTGGAACACATGCAAAGGATAAATCATAGGACAGACAGGTATAGTATACAATAATTTAGCAAGGAGTAGAAATGGTAACTAAAATGAAGAGTCATACGAGAGTAATTAGAAGGTAAGGTATTCAAGGAGGAGGATACTAAAGGCATGCAGAACACCGTATAACAAGAGTAAGGGTAGGAGTGTGAGGGTGAGGAAGGTTGAAAGGCAGGCGAAAGGTATAGCGTAATGCAATGAAGGCGAGTGCAGAATTAGGACGAGTTGGAGGTTGCAGGTTGCAGGGATGCAGATTATCCAACGGTGAGGAGGAGGGGTTTCGTGCGAAAGTGGAATAGCTGCGAATGTTGCAGAGCGGCAAGTAGCAGGGCGCATGTAGCAGGGCGAGAGCACTTGTTGTGGCTTAAGTGATGAGGTCGTAACTCTACATCGCATTCAGCTCCACCACTGAGGAAATCCCTAAGGCCATTGATTCTTAGTGTTAGCGAAGTGAAGTCAGGCATAGCTTCGCAAAAAATTTATTCTCTAACACATATTTGTTCTCACAATCGTTCGCAAAATTACGCATTAGGTTAAATGTACCTGATAAAGCGATATAGACCATATTCTGCTACTCATATTACGGTTGCCTTTGAACATGTAGATCATATTCGCGCGTATATTCATGATGTACCAAGCAAGCAATAAACTTTCACGTGTAATTGCGCTCATTGGTATATCCGTCTTTCCGCTACGAGACTGCGGAGGCCTCTATTTGAGCTCAATCAATTTTATCTACGAAGAAATGGCACGAGTACGACCTTCTAACTCGCGCGATGACGTAAAATGACAATGGAGTAATGTTAAGCCTATAAGAGTCCGAATATAAAAATGCCGCGGCATCACTATTCCGCCAAAGTGTCCGTTATCATGCACGTCAGGGACCTGCTCCTGAACGTAGGCGTGATTGGAGGTATGCATACGGCGGCAATGCCAGTCATCGCTTCGGGGTACTCGGCCGGGAACTTGTACCGGTCGTCCTGCTGCAGGTACACTTCTGGCCGTTTGATTGGCCCATTAAGTACGCTGCTCGTGCCACCGATGACATAGATGTTGGTGTCTGTGAGAGAAAGTAAAAAAATAATCTCATTTGAGAGAACTAGTATAGTCAGTGGCCTAGGGTATCGGCGTAAATTCATGGCAAGTCTGACAGCACGGTAATCAGCGGCATGCCCACATATTAGCAACCTGTTGTGCATAAACGTACAACATAAATTGGCTGTAAAAGGAAGAAAATAAAACACATCACGGCTTTTACACGCAGGATATATGAAACATTTAGATTATTTACGCATACAAATATTGTGACGAATTCTTTGCACAGTTAAATCGTCAAACTCAATACGGCATACCATAAATGCTAGTCTGATAGCCGTTTCCTTGCCATATCGATATACATTTATAGGTTTTGTGAAGAATGGCTTTAAAATACTTCTAAAAATATCCATGTATTAGCTGTAGTCTTAATTACTGAGAATGCTAGCAGTGTCACGTTGGGTGAAAGAGAGCTGTGGATTTTTTTTTTCATCTTCAGCGAACATAAGCACAGGCTTCAACATTTTGCGGCTGCCTCCGCCATGCAGCCGTTCAACAAACAGTACCGACTGGACAGCTGAACTGACTGAACAATTGGACGCGCACATTCTGCAAGGATTGTGTGTGACTGAAATTTGGAAGCATGGGAAAGAGTTGTTATCGTAATTAAGCGGTAAAAAAAATCGTATTCATGGGAGTCGGTATACCATTCGATGGAATTACGGTAACCTGCTACAAATGGGAGTCTCGAGATGCCATGAGTCAACATTAGGAGAAGAAGGGTCGCAATATCATTCTTGAAACTCCTTTACACTAGTAGAGGTCAAACTAGTAGAGCTCAAATATTTTAAATAGTGCTGAAAACACGAAGAAATAAAAAAATACAGCATCTACACGAGGTGAATGATGATGAGTGGGCGAAGCTCCTGAATTACATCGGTCAACCGTGAATCGTCCGTGAATTTTCCCATTCGACCATGACAAACACTGTATAAAATTACGCAATGTCCAAAAAATTAATGATGAAGAAGTAGCTTGCTCCGTCCGTCCGCCTGCCCATCCGTCTGTGCACTCATCTATCTGGCCATCTGCCTCTCTGTGCGTATGTGTGTCTGTCCATCAGTCCATTCGTAAACCTGGCCATTCAATCGTCTCCATTCATACTAAAACAAGCGTCTCCTACGCACTGGAGTAGTGCGAGCGCTGCAGCGCTATCTAGTGAGTGCTTCGAATACTAGGGGGGCTACGATGGACGACAATGGACTGACCTACAGCGTAAAAACATTGCCCCTCAGAAAACTTCAGTCTTTTTCATCGTGAAACCGCCACACTCACGACTATTATTCGGTCGATAGTCGAGTATGTACAGTATGTGAGTTTCATGTGATATGAGAAAGCAATAGTTTTGAAAGTTGCGCTAGCTGGTACGGATGCATTTCACAGAAAAAAAATTTTTACATCTCACAGAAAAAGAGTTCGCATATGTTATAAGCACATTTACCGTGAAGTGATACCCCATGTAACTTTCTGCAACACTTCTGGACAAAGTTGATACGCTTCTTTTCTGAAGTTCTTGTGTTTTTAAATTTAACTTTCAGTTACGAGTCAGCACTGGTTTGTGTCCTTTCTGTCTTCCGTCTTCATTTTTTCGCGCTGTAAACAAAAAGTCACAGCTTTGCCGCAAAGGTGATGCAATGAACGTAATATCAATGAATCGGAAGGTAACGCGCAGAATGGTAGGCAGAGTTAAATGCGTCCCGCGTTTGTCATGCACAAATGACGCCTGAAACGTATTCAGTGCTACAGATGCACGCGAATAATTGTCTCAGTTGCTACTTAACTGCATCTGAAAAGCAAGCACTTTGCACAAACGGAGACTGCAGTGATTGCAGTAACATTTGTGCTCCCAGTAACTACAACAGAATCATTCCAGGTAAAGCCCGAGGCCAGCCAAGACACGTGATTTTCCCGTCGTCGCCACCGCGAGATACGGACGCGCGAGGGAGCATCGCTCCCTTCCTTTAAGCAGGGCAAAGTACGCGGGGAAGATCAGAGCGCGTGCCGCCACGTGATGTGGCGACGCTTGCGCATTGCGCCATCTTGCTGGTAATTCTAAAAACACGATAATTACTCCCGAGATACCCGTGAGCAGCGGTAAGTAGTGGATATAAGTTGCTTGTCGTTTGAACGGTGAAGGACGAGCTCCATGGTAGCTCAGTGATTAGCGCCTCACACTCGCGATTCAGAGCACAGAATTTCTCACAATCACAACTATAGGGAAATACGGCGCTAGTGAGCTCCTGGTTGCAAGCGAATGAACGAATACGTGAGGTTCGAACGTGATTCGGATTTATATATCTCGAAGGCGCGTTTGCGTTCACGTTAAAATGATTGATTTCTTACTAAGAAAGCACGTAATAAGCAATTTATGTTTGCCATTGCATAAATACTTGTTGTATTTAACACAATAACCTTTTACGTTGACGCACAAATTTACGAAGGGTAAGAAGAAACCAATGGCCACTAAACTTGGCAGACAGACGACGCAGTGAGCGTTCCCGCCACCACGTTTATATCGCGTGTTTGTTTCCTTCGCCGTTTGGCTGTGCCGTCAAGGTGAGTGGACTTTTCTTTTATAATACGCGTGAATGTGATCCGCTTATAAACATTTTGCTTCAGAGAAGCTTTCTTTGCGCAGTCCTATTCGCTTTTGAGCCGCAGCCTCGCTCATTATCAGCCAACACAAGGCTCGTAGACACATACTGTCGTTCCCAGTGCAGCAACATCGCCCTTTAAGAACCTTGCATAGATGGTGGCGCCAAACTTCCCTGTAGGTATTAGTGAAAAACCCTACGAGAACCCAAGTTCGATTCCGCACGCCAGTGTCTTTTCTGGGTTTTCTAAATGCGAAGCAAGCATTTCTTACCGCACTTCGGCGACTTTGAGCGTATCTATCTATCTATCTATAAAGAAAGCAACAGAATACCAATCAAGAAGGGTGTAAGGCAGGGGGACACAATTTCCCCAATGCTATTTACCGCGTGCTTACAGGAGGTTTTCAGAAGCCTAGAATGGGAACAGTTAGGGATAAGAGTCAATGGAGAATACCTTAGTAACCTGCGCTTCGCCGATGACATTGCATTGCTGAGTAACTCGGGGGACGAATTGCAACTCATGATTACGGAGTTAGACAAGGAGAGCAGAAAGGTGGGTCTTAAAATTAATCTGCAGAAAACGAAAGTAATGTACAACAACCTCGGCAAGGAGCAGCGCTTCGAGATAGGTAATAGTGCACTTAAAGTTGTAAAAGACTATGTCTACTTAGGGCAGGTAATAACCGCAGAGCCTAACCACGAGATTGAAGTAACTAGAAGAATAAGAATGGGGTGGAGCACATTCGGCAAGCACTCTCAAATTATGACAGGTAGATTGCCACTATCCCTCAAGAGGAAGGTATATAACAGCTGTATCTTGCCGGTACTTAGCTACGGAGCAGAAACCTGGAGACTTACAAAGAGGGTTCAGCTTAAATTGAGGACGACGCAGCGAGCAATGGAAAGAAAATTGGTAGGTGTAACCTTAAGAGACAAGAAGAGAGCAGAGTGGATTAGGGAACAAACGGAGGTTAAGGATATCATAGCTGAAATTAAGAAGAAGAAATGGACATGGGCAGGGCATGTAGCGCGTAGACAGGATAACCGCTGGTCATTAAGGGTAACTGACTGGATTCCCAGAGAAGGGAAGCGGGTTAGGGGGAGACAGAAGGTTAGGTGGGCAGATGAGATTAAGAAGTTTGCGGGTATAAATTGGCAGCAGCAAGCACAGGACCGGGTTAACTGGCGGAACATGGGAGAGGCCTTTGTCCTGCAGTGGACGTAGTCAGGCTGATGATGATGATGATGATCTATCTATCTATCTATCTATCTATCTATCTATCTATCCATCTATCCATCTATCTATCTATCTATCTATCTATCTATCTATCTATCTATCTATCTATCTATCTATCTATCTATCTATCTATCTATCTATCTATCTATCTATCTATCTATCTATCTATCTATCTATCTATCTATCTATCTATCTATCTATCTATCTATCTATCTATCTATCTATCTATCTATCTATCTATCTATCTATCGCCTAAGACTTTTAGCTCTCCTGGCCATTTCGATTCCCACTGTACGTGGGATCTTCCATTTTTTCCCTTCTTGCATTTTCGTACAAATACGTATACATATACGGTATGTGACACCGACGCCGGCGGCACAATCCAGCCGAGAGTGTCCACATAATTGCTATCACAATAAAAAGGCATAGGAGAAAGATTTTGAAGTTGTTTGAAGTCCGGTTTGGATGTATAGGAGGTAGAAATACGTTTGAATTTCTCTCTCTGTCTCTTGAAGGCTTGAATAGAAGACCTTTCTTCGAATAACGCTACTAAAACGTCAGCGACTAAACAAAACGCTGCCCTTGTCATTGTTACCAGCAAACTACCTGACCTCATGCTGGTATCTGTTAAAAGTAATAACAGAACCCAGTTTTGTTAGGAGGCGCCACTTACGGGAACGTAACTGTTCGTGTCTGCGAGTAAAAGAGACTAAGTGCTATCCCACGTTCGTTTATAAAAATGGACCAATGTACTGAATAAATAATCACGCACTTCATTAATTGCGAATCGTTTCGGTGCTCAAACAAATTTGAGACCAGTACTTAAAACAATAAACCATTGAAGCAAATATTTTGGCCACTCACCAGCTACGGCCACAGCTGCGGCGTGCCTCGAGTGGGTCGTACAACCCATGTGCAGCCATGCGCTAGTTTCGAGAACGTCCACGTCTCGCAGGCTCACCAGGTTGAGTCCAGGCTCCGAGTTGTCGTAGCACCCGCCTATCAGCCATAGTTTGTCGCCGAGTGAAGCGGCCGCGGGAAAAGCGCGTGGTTTTGGGAGCGGTGGACCCTCGGACCATCTGCACGAGTACCGAAGGCAAATAAACACAGCTGCACACTCTTAAAAAGGAGGCAGTGCTACTTACTAACTTTGAGGTAGTAAATTGTTGGCACAACATTCACTACCTAAGTAGTAACTGTAGGTAGTAGACCACAGACATTTACTACCTCTGGTTGCTTCTGAGATAGTAAACGTATGTGATCTACTACCTGTAGTTATTACTTAGCTAGTGAATGTTGTGACAACAATTGACTACCTCAATGTTTTGTACGTGTACGTGAGGCAGGGTTGGAGGGAGACGAGGAGGAAGAAGAGGTTAGAAATAAAGAAGATGGCTGACACCCCAGCCTAGTACTGTGTATTATTACAAATTGGCGCAGCCGCGTATACTTTCTGTGCGGACATTCAAGATGTGGGTAGACTTCATCATTGGAGCAAATCAACGCAGTGGCATCCGGATCTTGACCGCAACGCTTCAAGATGAAGAGGAACTAGCTCTTCCGGAAGCAGTAAGCACTGACCCATTGGTTTTCTATATAAGAACTAAAATGAAGCTCACTCCAGACCATTTACTTGCTAAAAGAACTGTGAGGATCAACATGAAACTTCAGGATTATGAGAATTTCGTGCTGACTCCAGTTAGAAACGACGCGAAGCCTGCTACCGCTGCTTCGCCCGACAGTTCCGTCGAGCTGATCAACAAGTTTCTTGAACTGCACCAAGAACAAAATAGGCAGCAAAATGATTTATTGCGCTTGCTTGTAAACGCGACGGAAAAATTAAGCAGACCGAGTCGCGAACAAGTGAAGCCAGACATGTTTGACGGAGAGTCCAGTATTCCCGAGTCCTGGCTCACGTTTTACGAGTATGCATGCAATGAAAACTACTGGCACAGCGACGAAGATAAAGTGAAAAACATGCGACTATTCCTATCGGGCATAGCAAAGAACTGGTACGGATGGCGTCTCAACGCTCACAGCAACAAATCATGGACAGAGTGGAAAGCAAGCTTTCTGAGCTCCTTCAGCGAGAACAAGGTGTTGCTATGGGACAAAGCAATCACGTTCAAATACAGGTCTGTATCTGCACTCAGCTATTTTTATGAGAAAAGGCGCTTGCTACAGCTGGCGGACTCATCTTTGCCTGAGACGTCTGTCGTTCCGCTTATCATTCATGGTTTAAGTCCGGACCTCCAGAAGCAAATACAAATGCGAGGACCCAAGACGGTCGAAGAACTTCTGCAGGGAATGCGAAACCTCTACTTCCAGGACCTTAGAACCCAGCGTCAACCCATGACACCTGCTGCAAGGAATACCGGGGCCACACCAGCTGAGGAACGACGCCCGCTTGCAAGCTGGAGACCTACTGCAACACCCATATCCTTTGTCAATGCAACATTGTTGTGGGAGGGAACTGAAGAACTTAAGTTCCATAACGGAAAGTTCACAGTCCCAGAAACAATGGTGCCTCGAATTTTGGAGCTCTATCACGACTCCCCGCACTCAGGTGGACATGATGGCTTTTGGAGGACATATTACAAGATTCGTCAGCGTTTCCAGTGGAAACACATGAAAGAGGACGTTCAACGGTATGCTCAGTCTTGTCATCAATGTCAAGTTCACAAAGCCAAGTACTTTCAGAGAACAGACGAGATGGTTTTGCCTCAACATTCCGACGTACCATTTGAAGTCATTCATCTGGATTTCGCAGAGCTCAAGAAGAAGGCTGCAGGAGTAAGAAGAACGCAGTCTTTTCTAGTGGCAGTAGACCAGTGCACAAGAATAGTGGCTGCACGGCCGGGAAGGGAAGACGCAAATTATGTGATCGCTCTTTTGAGTCGAGAGATGTTCAAGAATACAAAAATAGTAATATCAGACAATGGGCCAGTGTTTCTCAGTCAGCGTTTGCAAGATTGGGCGAAGGAACGAGGAGTTGTATTGCGACGCTGCGCTCCGTACCATCCTGCAGGAAATGGCATGGCTGAAAGAATCATTCGGGATTTGAAGCAGTTCATTTCAATGTATCCAGGTTTTCAGGGTGGATGGAAGTGCTGCTTGGAGGCAGCTGTCGCTCATCACAATCGGTCGCACACTGCGAGCATCGGCTGTAGTCCATATTTTGCAGCTTTCGGAAAGGTACCAGTGCTTCCTGCTGATCAAGAACTTTGCATTGCAGACCGCCTGCAATTGTGCGAAAAACGAAAACATTCGGAAGCCTACCAGCGATACCGGGAAAGTATGAAGAGGAACTATGACCGTCGCCACAACACGCGGATACCTCAGATACAACTGAACGATCTGGTGCTTGTCAGAAAAGGCCTTCCCGGCACAAAGCAGGTGTACATGGGACCTTATCGCGTGGTGCAGATCGCAGTGCAACATGGCGTTCTCAAAAGGCTCGGTTACACCAACGATGATGGTGTGCTGGAGTTTGTGACCATTGGAAACGTTTTCATGTATCACCCCAGGAGGGATGAGTCTTCAAAGAGGGAGAGTGTACGTGGACGTGAGGCAGGGTTGGAGGGAGACGAGGAGGAAGAAGAGGTTAGAAATAAAGAAGATGGCTGACACCACAGCCTAGTACTGTGTATTATTACATGTTTGTAAGTAGCACTGCCTTTTTTTAAGAGCGCAGAGCTGCTAAGGCTTTCGTAGCTCGGCACCCGTTTTCGGCACATCAAGATGGTGTGACGCTTCGAAAGTTGTCTATGGAGTAGCTTGCTTTTGTCACTCTATCTCCCCCCCCCCTTTTGCTGCCTAGGCCACATAGTTTTTCAGCTCCTATAAGCTTCCTGGTTTTACCACGTCATGTACATATTTGCTGTACTTGTCTCAATCAACGCACATTCCTTGGCCCCCTATATACCACGACTGTCAAAATCGACGTTTTGACGTCAATCGAAGCGTAGCGTATTCGCACCTAGTTTATTATTCAGCTGCCACCTAACACCAAGGTGCCAAGTTTGAAACAAACTCATTTCTTCTAATGAATTCTTAAAACCGATGTGGCTTATTATAATCTGATGTTAAACGTTCCAAAACCACTGAACAATTCTGAGGAACGCTGTAGTGGAAGGCTCCGAAAATTTCGACCAGCTGGTGTTTTTAAGGTGCACCCAAATCTGAGCACACGTGCCTACTGCATTTTCGTCTGCCTCGAAAATGCAGCCGCCACAGCCGGGATCTGATCCCGTGACCTGTGGGTCAGCAACGAAGTGCATTAGTCACTAGACCACCGTCATGGGAGCTAAGCTTTAGAATCGAAAATATAATCTCTACCACGGAGCCAAAGCCAACACAGTGAATAAGCACTTAGCATCGGCATTCTTTATTTCGATGATATCAACCTAGCCACTTGTTACTTTACCAGGAAAGAAATCGTATTAGAACTCCTCACGAAATCTTCTTGCCATGTAGTTTTGGTGACATTTTTTGTGGCCTGGCCACCTTCAAACAGACGCACCAGTGCATTTGCTTGAAGGAACTGTTCAGTGCCTTTGCTGTGCTTCGCTTCAGAAAATTAGGGTCATCACGCTTTTCGATACGTGTAATGTGCTTCGATCACATTTATTGTACACAGAAAATCAATGCATCACGAGCTGCAATGCATCACCAGCGGGCAAATTTGTAAATCTCTTTCTAACTTCTGAATTTACTGGTTAAGCATTGTCTTAGATATGGCGGCCAGACATTCCAAAAAAGAAGTCACCTGTTGTGCCTAATTTGTAAAACAACGCCCCATATTTCGTTTCATATTCATAGAATAACCTTTCCGGCTAGCTGCGCTTACATTATGGAGAGTTTTGCATAAATTATTTTGAATATACTACTAAACACGTAGATATCAAACTTAAGAAATACGGGAATAAGTATAATACGTCGCCTCATTCTATATAGAATTTTTAAACAAGTTACCGCATTTTTGGTGCAAATTTCGGTGCCCAAGGTTGCCTCACGAAACTGCTATACGGGGAGACAACAAAGGCGGCTTCACAGCACAGCGTGATTTTCTTCCCCCCCTCTCTCTCTCTATATATATATGTATATATATATATATATATATATATATATATATATATATATATATATATATTTATTTATTTATTTATATATATACACGTTCGCCTGGAGCCCAACGCCGAAATCCTCCCTACAACGACGAAGGCCTGCCGGACATAACTACAACCTGCGCACCTCATCAGTGCCATCCCCGCACCCAAAAGAAGATTGACTTCTGAAATGTAAGTCCAGCTCATTGCTTCCCAGTTGCAGTGCCACTTTCCTTAAAGTACGAAAATTTGCCGACAAACGAATTAGACATGAAATGCATAAATAAACATTGCAAGTGTACCTTCGTGCTAGAATAGCTCCCAAGGGTATGACACTCTTCCTCACACCAGCCGCTACAAATCTAGATGAAAACGACCAAATAACATGGAAAAATGTCCTCCTTGGGGCATCTCTTAAATTAACAGAAATCGCTCTGAATCACAGTGATAAGCACGTAAAGAAACTGGTCGCTATGACCAACACCATTCTCCACCACAACACTTTATCGAACGAAGAAATCACCCAATTAACAGAATTTGAACAGAATAAATACCAAGCCATCATGACCACAAAAATTCATAAACTCAAAAGAGACCATCTGCCCAAACCTGATATAGTTCCCTGATATAGTTCCTTATCACTACAACACCACCACCCAGGAAAACACTAACGGTACAAACGAGCACCCATCTAGGAACACACCCTGTGACACTGTGGTTGTAAACTTATCAGACACGAGCTTATCACCTGACGAAGAAAAACTGCTATCTAAGGGACCAAGCTTCTGCCCGACCACAAAATTTTTCGATGAGTTCCACTTGCTCCGAGACCTCGACAACTTCGCTCGAAGTTTAAGGTTGCGCGAATATTTCTTGGACAGGCCTTTTAACCACGAAACAATTCACCGTCGTAAATCAAATGATTGGACACCGAACAGTAATCGAGACAAGTGCTTGGACCTTTATATCAC